GAAGGGCAGAATGAGTAGAGAACAGTAGAGAGCATTAATTCTGCAGTTAACTTAGGAAAATATAACCCGCTCTAGGACATCCCATCTCTTCCCCCTTCCCGTTCCTCACATCTTCCCCCTCGGCCCCCTTCATGCCAATACAAGAATATAGGAGTGGGTGGTGAAAAGGGGGCATGCAGCAAGAAATGGTGGCTCCTTTTATTCCTTCATCCTTAATCCTGACTGATTTGTTTAAAGGAACTGTCATGATCAAGGATAAGTTTCAAAAACCAAATATTTTATTTGTATTAAATAATGTTATGTATTATGTATTTTATTTATATGAGATGAGGCTCACAATTAACAAAATAGGTTTTGCTAAATTAAATGCTTTCAGTGACGTAAAAAGAAAGCGATTATTTTTATTTAGACTTTGAAGACTCATACAGTACACTATAGAATAGCTCTGTCCAACAGAACTTTCTATATGATAGAAATGTTCTACCTAACTGCATCGTCCAACACAGTAGCCAACAGCCACATGTGGCTACTGAGCACTTGAAATATGTGTGAATAGTGCAACTGAGGAAATGAATTTTAAATTTTAAGTCACGTGTGGCTAACGGCTACCATGCTGGACAACGCAGTTGCAGAATTTTTAAAGCAGTGTAATGTCAACAAACCAACACTGGTTAACAAGGATGGAAAGAGACTAATGATGCTACAGCTTCAAATTAAATAATAAACTTAAATTACATTTTAAAAATAAATGGGCCCCAATTCTGAAAAAAGTGCAATAGAATAAGATGAGGCTACCATGCTGATAAAATTTCATCTTTTCAAAAAAGCCTTTTTTCTACAGAAGTAGTAAGTTTTGGGGCCAGCCCCGTGGCCAAGTAGTTAAGTTCGTGCACTCTGCTTCAGTGGCCCAGGGTTTCACTGGTTCTGATCCTGGGCATGGACCTAGCACCGCTCGTCAAGCCATGCTGAGGTGGTGTCCCACATAGCACAAACAGAAGGACCTGCAACTAGAAAACACAACTATGTACTGGAGGGGCTTTGGGGAGAAGGGAAAAAAAAAAAAAGAAGATTGGTGACAGATGTTACCTCAGGTGCCAATCTTTAAAAAAATAAAAAAGTAGTAGTAAGTTTTATAACTAAAAAAATTGAACTTGGTGCTCTTACATCCTTATTACAGAAGAAGACTGACAACGGTTTATATTTCCATCTTTATACCTAGACTGATGATTTTTCATGAATATCCAATTCCTGACTGTTTACACTGAAAATCTGGAAAACAATCTAAATATCGAATACAGAAAAGGTTAAACAAATTAAGATATTTAAAAGGCAGAATACTGTGACACCATTAACATCATTAGCACATGGATTATACTGCCACATGGAAAGGTAGGAAATTTTCAATGAAAATAAAACACAGAATGTACAGTAATTTCAACAACATAAAAAGGACTATATAGATCTTGAGAAAAGTGGGAAGTAAACCCTGAATACTATAAACTCCTTCTTATTTTTACCCTATGAAGTATTCTAATCGAATTAAAATTCAAGTCAAATAAAAAAATAAAAAAGAAGCTCTTGTTGATCTTCCTCTCATTTCATGCAGTAGCTTATGAATGCCCCCATCACTTCTTATCTTCTGTTAGGTTCTCAAGCACCTGAAGAGTTCTGCTTCTTGTCTCTGTTTCATTCCTTTCTCTACAGGGCTGTCTTCATAGATAATACTGCTGAATAAACTTGTTGCTAGGAAGAGGAATCTCTCCTTAGGGGAAGTCAGAGACCAGGAATAAAGAAGCCAAACACAGAACAGGTTAAAGCATTCACTGTGATTTACCAAACGAATCTCTACTGTCAGGCACTGTTACAGCACCTGGAGATTTCCACGTAAGACACCTCTTGCTATTCAGTCTTAACGAGATAGTTTCCAAAATGCTTTCTATTATTAAAAAGAGCCCAATCAAAGACTCAGAGGGCACTCACAAACTTAAGGATGTAAACTCTAAGTCCTGGACCGAGAATTACAGAAGTGGACAGTAATACATGATTGTAATTTTTCTCTATCTTCCCAAATCACGCAAGTCTCACACGTAAGAATTGTGTCTTATTCGATTTTTTTTTTTTACATTCCTGCTAGGTAACAGTGAGAGCGTATAACTTATTTGTTGAGTGAATAAATGAATAAACGAATGGACAAATTAGACTGTACTTGAAGGGGGGAAAAAGGCCCATATGTGAAGAAAATCGCTATTTGTTTTAGGGGTAAGAAGAAGATATTAGGATGACTCAAACTAGAGATGATCCCCACCTGGCACCTTTAACGAATTTAACTGAAAGATAATGGGCATGGCACACAGCACACTGACAATTAACCAACTATGTGTTGATTAATTAATCAAGTATGTGCTGAATGAATAAAAGAATCAGCGTCTAAGCATGCCGGGCCCGCCGCTGCCAGCAGAGGAATCGGGAAGCAAGGGTGCGGGATGCAACAAAAGCGAGGAAAACGTTCGCTTCTGAGGCATTTCCCGCGGCTGTCATTCCTCTCCCGCCACCTCCACGCCAGGAGGGGGACACTGGGGCCAGCCGAGCGAAGGCTCCGGACTCCCCCGCCACTGCCCAGTCCTCCCGCAGCACTTACTGCCGAAAGGGGCCATCCAGGCGGCAGCCGCCCCCGCCCCGGCCTCCGGGCGCCAAGGAGAGCACTTGAAGGCAGCCCGAGGCCGTCAGGCTCCCCAGAACCTCCTGCTCTCTGTGCAGCTGCGCCCGGGCCCCCAGCCGCCCCGTTGTCTCGGCGGGGACTGGCACCAACAACATAGGCAGAACCCGCTCCATGGCTGCAGCGTTGCAGCTACCGCCGGCAGCGGCACTTCCGGCCGCCTGCTCTGCGGCCAACGTGGCTCGGCGGTTTCTTCCGGTCACCCGCGCCGGACCCCGCCTGCATCCTGGGCATGCGCAGTGTAGCAGACCCGCTCGCAGACCCGTGCCTCCCGGGGAAAGCTGCTGAACTGCGTCTGCGCAGTTACGTTCCCAGCTGTGGGGGACATACGCAACCGCTCCAGCAAAGCCGCTTCTGCCTTTGCCTCAAGCCGGCTGTCTATTCTGAAACAGCTGAGGGCCTAATTTAGCGGCCTAAGGCAGGCTGTAGCAGCTGTTCTCACACGTGGCATTACCCTTTGCTGCTTTAATCTGGCTGCCTCCTATCTATTGGAACACTGTTTCTGTCTCTCTCCTTGGCTTTTCTTATTGTGCTTTTGTTTGTTTACAGGCCCTGGGGTGGTGCAATGTCCTTGGTAGTGTGGACGGATCCATCGTGAAGGAGTTGGCCTAAATGCTGAAGTCAAATAGTATCCATTGTTACAGGCTGGGAAACAGGGTGGGCAAGGGCTGGAGGTGGTAGCGTTCCTGTTTCATTACTCCTTTATTCTCAGGGAAGTGTGATCTAAGATCGTCAGCAAAGAGGGAGAGGAGCAGAGGAGATGGAGAGAGAAGAGGTGGGGAGTAGGCATTTTGGAAAGGTCTCCTAATAGACAGCAGTACCTTTCCTATCAACACATTCTTTTCCACAATCAGATGGGGTCACATGGCTATTCACGGCCAACTCCTCCGTGTGTGCTGTAATTCCCATCCCCTGTTGTTCTAGGATTTTGTGTCTGTAAAGTTGTTTATCTTCTGTATTGGTTTTCTCCCCTCTTGTTGGAGTGCTTTCACACATGCTGTTGTGTCATTCTTTAAAAAAAAAAAAAACAATCGTCCCTTAGGGGCCAGCCTGTGCCTGAGTGGATAAGTTCGGCATTCTGCTTAGGTGGCCCAGGGTTTCGCTGGTTCACATCCCAGGTGAGGACAGGGCACCGCTTGTCAGGCCATGCTGAGGCAGTGTCCCACATGCCACAGCTAGATAGACACACAACTAAAATATACAACTATGTATTGGGGGGATTTGGGGAGGAAAAAGCAGGGGGAAAAAAAGTTTGGCAACAGTTGTTAGCTCAGGTACCAATCTTTAAAAAAAGAAAAAAATCATCCCTTAGCATACATCGACCACTGCCTACTGTCAAATTTCTGCTTCCCTTTTAGAGAATTCCAAGTTGACTCTGGTAGTCAGTCCCTCCCTCCTCATCTCAACCCCTGTCCACCTCAAGGTCCTCAATGATCTTCATATTGCGGCAACCAGCCATGTCGCTCTATCCTCCTCCCTCACGCCTTTCTTAAAGTACTTTCTTTTCTACTTTCCTACCACCACTTCCATAGTTTTTCACCTATTTCACTGATAACTCCTCTTCAGTCTCCTACGTTACTTTCCTGTTTAAAATTCTGACTTCCCATCACAGTTAAAAAAATCTGTTTTTTTTTTTTTTAAATCATGGCTTACAGATCTATACCCTGCCTACTCTTCTCCAACCTCATCACTCCACCTCACCCCCATCTGTGTACTACAGCCACTTCCATTTTTTCCTGAAACACACCAAGTTCATTTTCACTTTGGGGCTTTGTGCTCACTAGTGTCTCTACATGGAATACCTGTCACTCGTTTCAGCTTAAATGTAACCTCTGTTGACAGGCCTTCCTGGACCATTCCACTCCAGTCACTCAATTTTGTTTTCACCATGGTATTTCTCACTAGATGTTTTGTGTCAGTCCCTGTCCAACCAGAATGTAAGCTTCAAAAGAGCAGGGACTTTGTGTTGCTCAGCAGTGTTACCCTACCACCTAAAACAGGGCCTGATTCATAAAAGGCACTCCACTGTTTGTTGATGAATGCATGACCTTGTTTGTCAAGTTAAACCAAACATTTCATATCCCAAAGATATTTATATCCAACCCTCTTAGCTCAGGTAGGGCTCCTTTCTCCTTATCAAAAATGGCAACCCTGAAACATGATCATTTCCAAAGTCATACTTTTGTTAGACATAAGGCCTTATTCCTTATGTTAAGGACAATCTTGAAGCATTTACACATAAGAAAATAACTTGTTTGTAAATTAGGTATAATGAAAGCTAACACATTTTTCTATTATCTCTTTAATTATACCTTATTATGCCATGCCTTTTTAGGCATATCATTCAGGTTTTTAAAGAAAGGATAAGAAAATGTTTTTGGGCAGGGTCTTCCAATATATCAAGGCATAATAAATGTCTTCAGACTGTCTGGATCCCTGTAGACATAGCCCATACAGCTAGGATCTGATTAAACTTTTCCCACATGTACATATTCTAGAACAATGATCAGTAGATCCAGGCAAGCCTACAAAGAAAACAGATGTTAGCTGCAAACACAAATCCATTTTGTAAAGTATTTGTGTGATTTGACTAGTATCTGACTCTTTATAGCAGATGGTAAATTCTGAGAACAGAGATGACCTCCATGTTCACGCTTATATTTTGGAATAGTTGTCCCTATTCCTTGAATGAACAATTCAGCTTCTCTAATTCTTCCTTCAAATAGCTTAGCATGATAAATGACCAAAGCACCTGGGAATAAATTAAAAGTTTTGGCTGAAGAAACAGGCCACAGGGTCCTAACTTGGAATGGACTACTTACTCAGTAAATGCCACAGTGTCTAGAAGTTCTAAAAGCATGGTATCCTCCATACTCATAGTTTAAAAGAAGTAGAGAGGTAAGTGACAGAACCTAGACTGGGCTTGAACAAAGGGCTATGACCTCATTTCTGCCATCACTTACTCCATCCTAGCCTCCAACTGCTGTACCAATTGTTTATCCACGTGGTGACAGAACAGGGGAAGAAGGTTGCTGGGAAAGGTTAGGGGTTCTGCCAGAGAGGCTGTAGGCATTTGGGCTATCTCCCAGGCAATCAGAACCACCATGTCTGTCCTGGAGGCAGAGAAGAAGAAATACATTGTAGTCTTTGTATTTCTGCAGGAGACAGACTCAAGGCCAAGGGTCCTTATCCTCTGCTACCACTATCACTGTCTGTGCACATAGCAATTAAGAGATAACATTTGCATGTTTGGTATGTGCCACGCAAGGCTTAGTGCCTTACGAATCTTCCTCTTATTTAATCTTGAGCACTCTAAGTGGTTAGTACCATCATCCCTTGATCCCTTTTTATAGATGAGGAAACAGACTAAGAAGTGAATTGACATGCCCCAAAGTTACAGTGCTAGTAAGTGATAGAGGCAGAATTCAAACCTAGGTCTATTTGACTCTAAAGCTTGTCCCCTTAATTACTATGTTACACTGCCTCCCATGGGAAACCAACAGTCCAGGGCACTAGAGAGGGAGAGAAAAAAAAAAAGTAGAATAGCTACAACTCTGCGGGTTATCCCTTCTCTGTCCAACCTCCTCCTCAATGATTCCATAGACCACTCAGGAAATACCTCATCTGGCTCAGCCCACACGTCCCAGGGGTACTGAGGCCTTTATGATCTTACCAGGTGGTATAGTCACTGTTGGATTTCTCTAGAGAAGAATCCAGGGATACCAGCTGCTCCCCATGACTTAGCAGGGCATAGAGCAAAGATATTCCAAACTGCAAGTGATCAAGCGTTCAGGGTAAAATGAGTTCACCATAGACATTCAGTGTTTCCCTGGCTCTATCTTCCCAACTGAAAGGGCAAGTTCACAGGTACAAATGGAGCCCAACACCCATGAAACTGTCAGGTTACATTGGCTGGCCAAAGAACTCAGACCTTTCCAAGGAAATCACTTCTCTGAACTTTCCCCAAAGATTCTTTTGGGGAGCTGATTTAAATGCACACTCATGGACTCCACCCTTGGGGTCAGCGTCTGTAGATCAGGAGTAGACCCAGGATTCTGATACAGGTAGTTTGTGGACCCCACTCTAAGAAGCATGGCTTAAGCAGAGATCTTCAGAGTGGGGTTCACAAGATAATCCACTGGGTTATTGGAAGAAGACGCCAGAACTTTCACATCTGGAGTCTCATCTTTTAAAACTTTCTATCTTGTATTTATTATGTACCTAATATTAGCATAGTGTTACATGTATATGACTTATGAACAAACACATGGGTGATACTGTTCAGAATTGTTTTACTAAAAGGGATACACAATCTAAAGAGTTTGATGACCTCTGCTCTAGAGATCCACAACAGCACATCATCAGAGAGCTTGTTAGAAAAGCTAAGGCATGGGTCCCACCCCAGGTCTACTGAATGAGGCTCTCTAGGGGTGGGACCACGTGTTCAATAAGCTCTCCAGGTGACCCAAGTGCTCTCTAGAAGTTGAGAAGCACTACAGAGGATAAGATGGAGAAATGAGAACATTCTCCCACTCATCCTTTTGCCAGTGATACCACCTGGAAGACATCCCTGGAAAGAGAAAAGCCTCCCAGGTGTGTTACCTGATTCTGAAGCACCACAGTGACTGGCCGCTCTGAGGAGCCAGGTGCTAGCAGCGTTAGTCCCTGGAGTCCTTGGAGGAGTTCATGGAAGGTCAAGTGACTGATACATCTGCCCAGAGGTTTGAACAACATTTGTAGGGCCTGCAAGAAGGTCAGTAAGCACCTCTCTCAGATTCTGCTACAATTTCACCTCCTCCTACCTCACCTCAACCCCCTTTTCTTGCTGACCTGCCTTTGGCACCTTCCTGGTCAGGTTTTACCAGGCCTATAACCACTCACGTCTCTCCATCCCTAGGCACAGGTCCTTCAATACCTACTTGTTCTAGGATGCCTTCCCTAAGAAAAGTAGATATGGGGCTCAACACTTGTCTCAAACTTCCACAGCACACTCACACCTGTGCAACCATATGCCCATGTGTTTTTCATTCTTTGTACCTGAAGATGATCAGCTGTTCCCATAGTAGTTTTAACTCCCTTACCTGAGGGTGGCAGGGTCAGCGCCCCTCACTGCCCAGCACTTTCTCTGCCATCTCTGGGAGTGCGGAATGGAAGAGGAGGAAAGATCCCTAACCTGACCACAAACCATCCTCTTCTCTACTCAATGCCACAGTACCTGATCAGCCACATCCCTCCTGACCAGGAGGGGCAGATGGTGGGTGATAGCCAGAAGAAGGCTAACAGCTTGATTCTGGGGCAGGAAGGGGAGCATCCGGGCCACTAGGGCTTTCCCCTTCCTCACAGAGAGCACCTGCAGGAAGCCATCTGCTGCCTCCCTACAGGTGAGATAGGAGAGCATTTTCAGGGCTCTGCATGGAGGAGAGGACTACCTGTTAGAAAGGAGGAACAGAAGCAAAGCCAATGTCTTTGCTGATCTTTCCCTTCCTGGGCTGAGGTGTGACCCTCCCATACTCACTCCAGATTATTCTGCTCCTGGGTCTTTAAGGCCAGGAAGAGCTTCTCCACCTGTTTGCTCTGCTGCTCAGAGTAGCAGGGTTGTGGAGGCCCGTCCTTCTGGCCCTCCTCTATCTCTAGTAACTGAAGGAACATCTGGGAATTCGAGGGTGGGAAAAGTGGAAGAGGTAAACTTGAGCAATATCCCATTCTCGTGGGTAAGTTAGGAACTCATCCCCAAGGAGCTGATAGCTCACCTTCTCAATGTGGTGCAACACCCGAAGCCTCTGACTGCTTGCAGCTCCTGCCTCCTAGGAGAAAGGGTCCCTGGCCATCAGCCTCACCTACAAAGCAGCAGCTCAGGCCTCTGGAGAGCTAAAAATAGAGCTGGAAAGGCTAGGCACAAAGTCTGATCACACTTCCTCATTCTTAGGTCACAGTCTGAACATAAGCATGACTGTTCTCCAGAACTTTCTTCAAAACAGGGGAAGAGAAAAAAAGGTTCTGGGAAGATAACACTCCTACCTGCTCTTGAGTTCCATGGGGTACAGCATCAATAGCTCGGCGAGGGCTGAAACACGTTGATACAGCTACCTGGCCCAGGGAACCCTCAATTCGAACCACTGCACAAAAGGAGTTAGGAGAGGCATATTCTCCTCCCCTTTCCACCCTCTGTCCTCTTAGATGTCCAGCCCATCCCAGCAAGTCAGCCCTGGTCCTACCTGACTCGTAAGCCTCTGCCTTCTGAATGTAAGGCGTTACCAGCTTGAGGGACTCAACCTTGTTCTTTCGCCCAAGTAGCTCGTCATCTGCCTGCTTCTTCTCTAGTTTCTGATAATACTTCTGCAAGTCCATGGAATAGAAAAATGTATGCTCATCTTCTGAACTTAGAATTAAGGGTCTCAAGTGCAACCTCTTAATACACCCTTTCCTACAGTATTCATTCCAGAAATGATCCTAGCACCTTAGGCCCTTCTAGCAATTGTCCTAAAGCATCTTACACACCCTGGGTCTCACGCCACATACCTTAGAATCCCCATACTAAGGACTTTAAGAGTTAGACACCATCGCCAGATCTGGTGGAAAGGCAGAGAGCAAAGTGGAAAGCCAGGAAGCAAACCTGTCCCAGCATCTGCAACCTTCCCGCATTCCTTACTCCCAAGTTATGCGCTGCACACCACATATCCTCCCCCTCCCCATTTTAATTTTGTGATCCTACCTGTGCTTTCCAAAATCAGAGTTATCTGATGGCATGTAGACCATCAGCAGCTTGAAGTACCGAGAACACTATTGCCAATTGGCCTGTAGGCCAGTTTTATACTTCTCAGGATTTGCTCAGCAGCTCTAATATCTTCTTAAAGAAGTCTGTAAAATCCCAAGCTAAAATAAAGCCACTGAGAGTCAAACAAGAATTTGAATAAAGCTCCTTCCTTTAGGAGCAGTGCCAAAAAGGCAAGAGTATAAAACTATTTCACTTTCAATGATCCTGGCACAAAGAGGAGAGTTTTTCAAGTGTAACGGAAAGAAAGAAACTAATGTAAACAGGAAGGAGATCAAGCTGGAACTGTGATGGGGGTTCATGGAGGTTGAGGAGAAAGTGAGACACAGCCTCAACAACCCAAAAACCCATAGACAAAGACTTGCCCCATAAATAAAGGGGAGATAGGAAGCAGGGGGAAATGAGTCAAAATGTCTGCCAGCATTTGTTCAATTCAACAGATTGAATCCCACTATTTATAAGATCCCTGTTTTAGATCTAAAAAAGTGAAAAGTAGATGAATGTTTATAACAAGACATTTCTAAGATCCACATAAGTGTGCAAAGGTGGAAAAGTCCGTATTTCCATGCCGAATAGGGGGAATTCTTGGCAAAGGATGGAGACAAAACCTGAGTGTGTTTGGGGAATTGTAAATAATCCCATTTGGCTGAAGTGTAGGAGAATAGAGGGGAATGAGCTTGGAATGTCAACTTTAGAAATATGGCCCCTATCCTGTAGTGATTGCCTCACCCACCTGAATGGACATGGCCTCTAAGAGCTGAAGAGAGGATCCGAGAGGGACCAGGGAGTTCAGGCCCCAAGGTCAGAGGCTAGGAAGAACACCTGGGGCTCACCTGGTAGTAATAATCATCCAGGCGGGGGTTCTCACTCTGCAGCTGAACCATCTGCACTTTTATCACCCAGTCCTTCTCTTTTCGGGTCATGAGGTTAGCATAGGGGTCTGGTTGCTGAGACCAAGGCTTCTTGGCTGGGGGACTTCAAGCCAGGAGGAGCATCCCTTTAGATTCACCCACCCAGCCACAATGAACTTCCCAAGGAGTGGTGAGCTTGGAGTGGTGCTGTCAGGGAAGGATGGGAACGAGTGCAGAGGTAGGCAACACCGTGAGAGTCTTAATTGTACAGGGTCTTTGGGAATCACAAGGGAATACCCAGCATGCAGACGAGTATCAGCCCTGCTGCTTGTCTAGACTTTACCTTTGCATTCGACTATGCTGCTGCAGCTGCAGGAGCCGTTGGTGCTGAGGGTGAAGCTGGGTCAGATGACTGGGAAGACTTAGAAAGAAATTTGGACTGGGTGAAAACAAGCTCTCAGCTCCCTACCCCTTCAATTCATTTAGCCTCATCCTAACCTCAGCAGGACATCGAAGGGAATCCTATCTGTTTATGTGCCTCCCCAAAGTAAGCCACATGAAACATCACAATCCTAGCTCAGCAGGGCTCACATTCTCCTCCAAGATAGATTTTTTTGCAGTTTGGCTGCGGGAAATCGTGACACAGTAGAAAATCATTTACCCTGTTTGTCAGGAGTTCTGAGTCCTAATCTCAGTTCTCCATGCCAGCTAACCACAAGTAAGTTCTTTTTAGTCTTCGTGGCCTTCCATTTCCTCATCTGTAAGGGAGAAGGGACTGGACTCTTCCTGAGAATTCTCTTTTTAAGTTTCTATAAGTAAGTTTCTGTGGCAGCTGGTAGAGTGGCCCCTACTCCTCATCAGCCCCTACCTTCTGAGACTTCTAGAGAAGAGCTCAGCCTGTCGTGGATGCTGGGGTACCTGGCGCCCTGATCCAGTACCTGAACTTAGGGGGCCATGAGGTCGGCAGGCTGCAGAAGAGAGATGGGTCTGGCAAGAGCAGTTGATGTCCAAAATGGCACGCTGGAGAGTTGGCGCTGGGAAACTTAGGCCGGAAAAGAACTGGCGACAGGTAGTCCAGGGTCTGGGAGAAGAAGTAAGAGGTCTCGGACCAGGGCATCTCCATCAACAGAATGCTGCTCTTGTTGCTAAGTGCTTTTCCTACCTCTATATTCTCACCTGTCTTTTTCCTTAAGAACCTCACCCAACATTTTGCCATCTTGGGGGCCCTCAAGCCAGCTGTGAGGGCACCAGACTGTGGATCCTGCTCGTTTCTAACAGGGTTTGTCACCTCCTAGGGCGCACCTCTTCAGTCCCCGACACTGTGGGGCATGTGCTTTTCCTACTGTCTGGAAAGTCAACACCTCTCCCTCTCCTCTCTGTAAGTCTTGTCTCGGGCTCTTGTGTCAGCTACTGGGGTGACACTTATGTGTCTCTTTTCTGATTCATCCGAGGTCCTCCCCAGAGCTGCAATTTGCTTCTCATTCTCCCTGCAGATTTCCTGCAATTCTTCTACCCCAGACCATGTTCCCATTATGCAGTTAAGTGAAGGGCAGGTGCTCTTTCTAGCCCTAAGCTCAATGCTGCTCATCTGCTGAAATATTTTGTAAGGTGGAAGTAGGGTCCTAGGTTCTTTTTTTCATCTGAATGGCCAGCTGTCCCAGAACCACCTCTGTCATTTACCAAGCTTACCTACATTATGGACATCTCCCACCTCCCATACCCACACTTCACTTTGGGTGCTTCATCTCCAGAGCAAGGTCAAGAGCACTGAACATAATGGAAATAAGGGACACTTGGCACGCTCCTTCTCAGCACCCAGTTACTTTCTCATAGGATGGAGACTAGAGAGACTCACCTGCCACAGAAAGTGCAAGGAGGTAGGTGACATCCCCAGCACATCAGGGATCTTGATTCCAGGGGAACTGAGACCACCTCTCTGGAATGGGAGGAAGGAAAGCCCAGGCTTGAATGAGCCCCTGTGGTGTTTTCTACGTTCATCTGTGTCCATGAGGGGTGGCAGCAAGGCCAACAATTTCCACCACCCAGGAGAACGGCAGCCTGGCCTTCCCTCATAATCAAAGTCAACTGGGCCAGGACCCCTCTCCTTCCTCTGAAAGGATGCAAGACTGGTATCTCAGGAGTAGGTTGAAGGAGGGTCTAAGTCACTTCATTCTACATGTGATTCCTTGTCTTTCTCCACTGGTTTCGGGAATCCAAGGGAATAAATACCAGTTATGGACCATTGAGACACAGGGGCCCAGCGTCGAAGATGACTCACCTGCAGCACCAGGAGCAGGACCAGCACCTATGGACAATGCACAGCCCTGCTAGGACCTGATTTTTAAGGTGAAGCCAGCAGCACAAACTAAGTTGGAGATAGGAGGAAAGGAGGAAGGAAAGAGAGAGTCCCTACTGGGGTTCAAGCCTGAAATAGAAAGTGTTAACCCAGAACCTATCTTAGAAAGGGATAGAGAAGAGGAGAGGGATGTTTAGCAACAGTCCATGAGCTGCAGACAGTTCAGGACAACCGTGCCCCCACCCACTCCTGCCATGGTACCTGGGTGTTATGGACAGCACTGAGCACAGCTGGATCCCCGAGATCTTTCTCATCCTCCTCCTCCTCCTCTTCTTCCGGGCCTGGGGCTAAATCTGGATCTGGATCCAGATCCTCCTCCCCCTCATTTTCTTCCTCTTCCTCCAGTTGGGAGGCAGACACCAGCTCCTTCTCTGGAGCCAAGGAACCACAGGACTTGGCTGGGCCTTGGTTTAAGTGGGGGCCTGAGGAAGAAGTAGACAGGGGTGCAGGTGTGAGGAGTCTCATCTCGAGAGGCTACTTCTCAAGAGTGCTTCTGTTCATAAGCCATCTCCAGCACCACCTTCAAACAACGCCTCTTGTTCTAAGGGTTCAACTCAGCCTCACTACCTCAGGGGGCCCCTAACCGTCCCCCATGGAGCAAATGGAACCGGCAGGTAGCAAACACCTTCACTTTCCACACGTCCTCTTCAATTGCCTCATTAGATACCACCAGTCTTCACCTGCTCTCCCCCACCTGACAGCCCTTTCTGTGCCTCTTTAATCAACGGAGTTCCAGCTGCCCGGACTCACTGCAATTTAACCCTTTCTGTGCCAGATACTTTACATGTACAGTATATATTCATTTGACTCTCGCAACAACTATATAAGGCTGTTATTGATAATTTCACTGTGAAGGTGAGGAAAGTATGGCTCGCAAAAGTGATCTCAGTCACCCAGCGTGATGTAGCAAGTAAGGAGAAGAGTTTGGAATCACTCTCAGCGATTCTGGACACCCAAGCCCACGTCCACGCGCCGAACCAGACCAGCAAGTCTCCGCACCCCTGGGCCTTTTTATCCAGATAGCACGGACAAGTTGGTGATACCTTCAAGGCATTTCATCTTTGCAGGCTGGCCAACTCCCTCCATGGCCGTTTCCTCTGGCGAGAGAGCTGTGTCAGCCTCTAGAAGGTAAACCTGGGACAGAGAAGAGACCCAGAGGCACCCTCCTGCTCAGTAAAGATAGCACAGCACCCTAAAACCTCCGTGGTCTCCTCCCAGCAAGGTTGTCAGAGGAGTATTGGCCCAGGGTCTCAAGGAGCAGGACTGCTCTAAACCCCCACCCTCTCTCTGACCTCACTAGCCCAGCTCTAGGGAGTTGTCCTGCAAAGGGACAGAAATGAGGGACAGGTCTAGTTGAAGGAGAAGCACTCCCATGCAGACATCACCAGGCTCCGTCTGCGCACGGTGAAGTGGCCTCACAGCTGCCTTGTTGCTGACACGCACCGCCTGACAGTTGCCGTCCTTCTTGCTTAGTTTAGCTGTGGCAGCCTGGGCCAGGGCTGGCTTACTGCCCCTGACTTTAAGAGTCCTAGCCCCTCCCCGGCTCTCCTGTTAAAGGGCCAACCACTGCCTCTTGGGAGAAATATGAGAACATAATATTACGATAAAGAAAGCTCTTGAAAGAGCAAGGAAAATAAACTGCATTTTTAACCATCCAAGGTTGTAAGTGCAGCTTATTGGAATCAATATTTGGGAGCAGATGTTTAAAAAGAGGATCCCTGTTTTCCACAGCCATCATAGGAACTTTGTGAGGTTATCTTCCCCTCAATCCCTAGGTTTTGCTCCATCAAAACTAGATAGGAAAGCCCAGGGTGGATCTGAGATTACCTAGCAACCAAGTTCTCAGTGCTTCAGGGCAGCATCTGGTAACGCTTGTCCTTCACTGGGTCCCATAAGCTTAAGTCTGCTGCCCGGCTCAAACCGACTACGGACCCCTCTGAATTTAGAAGGTAGATCTTCAAGGTGAAACACTTTTGCATAAGTTACACAGACAATCTTTTACCTTCTTGGCTGCTGTAATGGAAAACTGGTCCAGAAGCTGAGGAGTAAAAAGAAAACATAACAACAATAAAAACAAGTGTGTTAGTACCACTGGTTGGCAAACCCTAAGACCCACCTGAGCCTCATCTAGCCCCTGAGTGATCCTGGGTCATGTGCCCACATCCTGTGTTCAGCTGAACTTCACACGACTTTGTAGAACTTCTCAATAAAAATAAAAACGAAGCTAATTTCTCTACATCAAAAATGCAAGTTAGGGCCCTGTCTTCCTGGTGTTAGGACCATGATTCTTGGCGCCTCTAAAGAAAAACAGTTGTTTCAAAAATTTGGCTATTGGTCAGAACTATATGGTTGGGGGAAAAAAATTAAGTAGCTTGAAAGTTACCAAAAAACTTTTCAGATGTCTAAATTGGGTTCAGGCCTTTTTGGTCATGTTATTCAGCTGTTTTTCTCAAGAACTTCCTAATAACTCACGTTGGTATTATTAACAAACGGGCCCAATGGTGAATTTCAGTGTTCTGGAAGTAATTTATTAGGTCGCTCTAGAGACCAGGTCTTAAGGAGAGCTGCTTGCTGCCTGCGGATTTTCATTCTGAAAGCGGTCCCTGTACCAACTAGCATCAGAGCAGGTGGACTGGAGCTCATTCTTTTAAGATCATAGCCCTGTCTTGGCTGTTCAAAGTTTCACCTGGGACCTAGTGACTTTTGGGAAAGTCCCCTTTCCTTGCCCGAAGTCTTGTATATCTATGAACCCCTTAGATTTTCTAGCTTTCTGCCATAGTTTAACTGTGCTAAGTTTAACTAAGCCAAGCCTGTGCTAGGGTTGGGGTACAACGGTGAACAAGGCAGATGCCGCCCACGGTCTCTTAGAGCGTCCCAGAAAATAAGAAGTACAGACAGGTAAACGAGACTGTTGGATCAGATAAAAGATCCATTAGACATGTTTACATTTACTGAATGCAACGCGTAAGGACTGTAGGGGGAGATTTTAAATCCATTGTTTCGGTTTCTGTAATGGCTGTATATCTATGCCAGTTTTCAGTTTCTTCTTGAGTTGGTGTTGCAAAATTATATAATCTTCTAGGAGTGTGTCCATTTAAGTTTTCAAATTTACTGGCATAAAGTTGTTCACGGTATAAGAGTATCTTTTAAATCCATACTATGTTTGTACTTTGTCTCCCTTTTTATTCCTAACGTTATTTATGTATTAGCCTCTCTTTTTTTCTTCTTTCCAAAGTTTTTCTATTTTTATTAGTCTTTTCAAAAACACCATACATAAGTCAGAATTTCTGCAGGAAATAGTACACTCAAATTGGATATTCTGAGTAGACTTTTAATAAAGGGATATTTGTAAAGGTATAGAAAGAGTACAGTACAGCTGGAAGGACGAGCACGGTACCCTGAGACTGGGAATAGTTGGTTGTTACCACTTGAGGGCAAAGGCAGGAAGATGGAATGGTTACCAGCAGCTGGAGACAGAGAAGGCTTCCTAACCGGCAGATAATTTCAACATCCGTGCATATGGCCTCCAGTGTGGCTGCACTCTCCTAAACTATATCCATTCTTTCTGAGATCTGCTCTCTGCTCCCTCCTCTTGCCTCTTGAGGCGTAGGTGTGGTAAAGTCTCCCCACTCTTGCTGCCCTCAGCGTACTTCACTGTCCTTTATGAATTTCCTTTAACCCTGCTCACACCTTGGTTACTATGTCCTTCCCCAAACTCTCCTCAGTTACCCTGCTTGAATGTGCTATTTGTTTCCTGTCGGGACTCTGCCTTACACCATCTGCAGCCTGCTGAGCCATTCTTTTCTTTTGTCCTTCTTCAGCTTCCTCTCCCATCCCTCAGTCATCTGCGATTCTAAAACATAACCCTTGCCCTTAAGTCCCCTACACAATTCCTCTCTCTTTACTCTCAGCAGACAACTTCACCTCTTATGTTATTGAGAAAATAGAGGCCTCTGGGCTGGTCTACTTAAATTTATACTTGGAGGAAATTTATATGCACCACAGGCTGCCCACCTCATTCTTCCGGGGGGGGGGTGGCCCTCCTCTTCAAGTCCAGCCTCTCTGCCTGGATCCTATGCCCTCCGACCACTTCAGTCAGGCTTCTCACCCCTGTCTTCAGCCTCTCTATTTTTTCTTCTTTCTTCTTCTTATAGCATAGCATAGAAATATTGGGACGTGTTCATTCTTGGAAGCAAAATCCCTTTCTTGTTTTTGTTTCTTATTTTAACTGCCCCGTATCTCTCTCCTACCCGATGAACTGAACTTCTCCATTTCCTCAACTCACATCATTCCTTCAACCATTGCTCTCTGGCTTTTGACTCCATCACACTGAGAGCACCAGGGGACAGATGGACATAATCCCACAAGCCCCTCAACCTTTGCTATGTACAATTGACAATTTTTCAACCTTCACGACAAATTCCCTACCCTCACTTTTAGCCTGATGCCACCCCTAAACACTTCTTGGATTATAAAAAAAATCTGGAGCTAGCACTACTCATTCACTCCTCAGCAACTATTCTCAATGACCAGCGATTTCTTAACTGGAAGTGCAAAAGGCATGTTTCAGTCCTTATCATAGACGAAGTCCCTACAGCATTTGACACTCTTGATCATGCCCTCCTTACATCTCTTGTTCTCCCACAGCTTTGTGATGCTTCAGTCTCCTGATCCTTGTTGTACCTCTCTGGTCATCTTTCTTTGGCCTCTTTCCTGCTCTTCTCATCCTCTTCCCATCCTTCAAATGTCCTCTTCTTCATGCCTCTTCTCTTTCCCCTTTACATAGAATATTCTTAATCTGAGGGTCCCCTAAAATTGTGTATATGTTTGTATGATTTTTAACATGTCCTTTTTTTTCCTGGAGAGACAGTTTAATAAATAAATAAAAGCATAGGATATATTGGAGTATATGAGGAAGCCATTTGGTTTAAAACTAATTCGACCTGACCTTGTCTTTTTTCCAAAAGGGACTGATGTTGCCTATTGAGTATGATGGTACATCTGCTTTAAACATTTACAATGTCCCAAACACAAGAATGATGCCCTTAAAGACAGAGATGTAGCTTCCCCCGATATTAGCATTTCTTTAAGGATAAGCATCTCTTCCTAGAAACTAAGGATTAATTAATAACCTGCTGTGCTGACCTTGTAACCACTGACCTGCTGTGCTAGCAAAGCAATCTTGTGACTGTTGTAAAAGGGATACTCCCATTGTATGTGATGTATGCTCTTTATTCCAAGATGAAATATAACTCCTCTTTGGTGTGCTTCCTTCCTTGGGGATGGAAACCCCCCCAGGCTAGAGTCCTTGGTCTTGGCTCATGATAAGGTCTCCCCAAATTTTGATTTATAGATTGATTATAGATTATTTGCATCGGCACAGTCCAGAACTTTCATCACATTCTCAAATGGATCAAGAATCTCCCCAAAAGCTTAAGTCCTCTGCAACTTGGTATCCCTGGGCAATCTCATCCACTCGTGTTTTCCTCCCTCCTACAGGCCGATGATTTCCAACTCCTTTTGTCAGATCTGACACTTCCCAACATAAAGCACCTCAGTGGTTTTCATCTTCTGTCCTTTACGTACGGCATAAGGCCCTCTAAGATCCGACCTTGACTGCCTCTCCAGCTTCCTGTCTTCAAGCTCCCTGCCTTCTGGTTTGGGTTTCAGAAATAGTGAACTGCTTTTAGCTGTGTGGGGAGAGTGGGATTCTGAGGGAGCCCTCTCTCTAATTACTCTGCACCAGGAAGTTTCTCCTGGCCCTAAGGACCTCTTACCCTTGGTCTGGGAGTTAGATCCCACTGTTGATTAAAGAGCCTTCCTGGCCCAATTCTTTCTGTATTTCTTTTCAGTGACACTGAACATGTATATCTTTGCAGGTAAGGTATACTGTTGCTGTTGTGTCCCACAGGCAACATAAATTTGCAAAGGAAGAGTTATTTTAATTGGAAGGTGATTTCAGATGCTTTAATAAAGTATCTTATTCTGATATTCTAAATATTCAAATGGGGAAAAAAATTCAGCTCAGGCTTTACCTCCTCCAGGAAGGTTTCTCAGCACCCTCCTCCCTTCCAGGCTAGATGAGGTGCACTCATTGGCCCTTACATCTTTTTCTCGTTGTACCTACCACACTGAGTTGTAATTCTGTTTCTGTATTTGTCACCCCTACTTGAGAACAGAGATGTGTCGTCTTCATCTTTGTGCCTCCAGCACTTAACACAGTATCTGAAACAGAGAAGGTTCTCAATGAGTGTTAATTGAGCTGAACTGAAATGAAAAATGATGGTCCTTCCCCTCACAGACTTCTTCGGATGGGGTTTCTTGCCTGACACCTGGGTGTATCCTAACTCAAGCCCACTGTCCACATTGCTCCCAATCAGTGTCATTCTTAGAAAACAAACCTCATGACGCCTAAGCCAGAATCATAAAAGACACATAGATTAGACTAAAAAAGTAAAATTTCTATACTGAAGACATATTTATGACAAAATAAATTCTTATGGAGCAAAGATTTAAATGTTAAAAAAAAATTAAATCTCAAAAATAATCAAAGAAAATAAGTCAATTTTTTAAAATGTGAGTAAGTAGAGAAGGCCCTTCTAACCATGACCCCAAGTCAATAAGCCGTGAAGGATGACTGATAAATTTGCCTAGATAAACATGCAAGGCATCAAATGGCAAAGACTATTGTAGGGGCCAGCCCGGTGGCATAGTGCTTAAGTTCGTGCGTTCCGCTTCAGAGGCCCGGGGTCTGCCAGTTCGGCTCATCAAGCCATGCTGTGGCAGCATCCCACATAGAAGAACTAGAAGGACTTACAACTAGGATATACAACTATGTGCTGGGGTTTTGGGGAGAAAAAAAAGAGGAAGATTGGCAACAGCTGTTAGCTCAGGGCCAATCTTCCTCACCAAAAAGCATACCTTAAAAAAAAAATCGTAAACAAAGTCAAAAGAACTTTATTTTGATTTGGTAATCTTAAATCTACCTTTAAAAACTATTTAAAAGAACTTTTAGGTGAAGATTCTTTTTATTGTTTCTGAAGATTTTGAGGACTCAGTAAAGGAACTATTTATGTTAAGGCCACATCCTTTTAGTAATATTTCCTTCACAACTGCTGGTAATCAATATTATCCAATCAGCAATCAAGTCAAAATTAATATAACACTGTTGATGGATAATACAAAGATAAGATTGCTATTTTCTCTCATGTTTACTTTTAAAATCCTATACTTTAGTTAAGTGCTGAATGCCCGTTACATAGAATATCTGCGTCCTTATGAAGACAGAAATCTTTGACCACATTCTTCAAAAAGAAAATTTGTTCTAATTTAAATAAGTAAAGCATGACTTTGTATTTTTAATTAATTATCAAAACGTGAGTGTCTTAATCCATTTGGGCTGCTGTAACAAAATACCAGAGACTGAGTAGCTTATAAACAACAGAAATTTATTTTTCACAGTTCTGGAGGCTAGAAGTCCAAGATGAAGGTGCCAGCAGATTCCATGTCTGGGGACAGCCCACTTTCTGGTTATCAGATGGTGGGGTGGCTTCTCACTGGTCCTCACAGTGTAGAAGGGAGGGGGCAAGGGAGCACTCAGGGATCTCTTTGATAATTGCACTAATCCCATTCAAGGGGGTTCCGCCCTCATGACCTAATCACCTCTCAAAGGCCCCTCTCCTCCTTATACAATCACCCTCGGGGACAGGATTGCAACATATGAATTTTAGGAGAATGCAAATATTCAGTCTATAGCCATGACCTTTGGAGAATATAGGCTAAATATATAAAACTACTATTTCTTTTTTACCAATATTTTACATTGAAATGTAATATTTGGTTATAAAAATCTCAAAAATGTTATTGTTTGTCAAAACCATGCTTCTATTTTCATTATAGGAGAGGTGCATGTATAGATAGAGAAAAGTTGAGACTTTGTCTTCCAAATCCTTAATCAGGTAATTCAACTTTTGGTGACTAATCTGTAATTGCCACATTTACAAAGAAACTGTTGGGTAAACAGATTGTTTGGTGTTGCACTTAGGCTCAGTGTTCATTTACATAAATTACATATGACATTTGGAAAATTTTTTCAAACTTAGGAAAATGCAGTTCTTAATAGGGCTTCATTGAAGTATACCTAAACTCTCCAAAATATTTCTGTTATACACATAAGTACAATTGCATAAATAAGATTACTTAGACAAAAGTAAAGACTTGCCTTTCGCATTCAAATTATATTTGCTTCACACAGAAACCTGCCTGAAAACAATTTAGAAGAGACTATTAATGCTCTTGACTATGGCAGTTTATTGCATTTTTCAGCCCTTTTTAAAATATTAAATAGTTGGAGTTTTAAGTCCTGCTTGTCTTCAAATAGATGTTTAGCATAAAACTTGAATGGCTGACACCACCACCATGACCACTAAATTGTTTGTGGACCAGAATCGATTTTATCAAAGTTGCTTCCCTTATGTATTTCGATCATGAGCTTCAAATGCTCTAAGCAGAATTTAGGTTTGACTACATTTACTTAACCCTGATATGATGCTGATGATGGTTCCAGGATGTCTTCTGCTTTCGTATCCAACACATCTGTGCCTGTAATATACTTCCTCCTATTCTTGCTCCTGTTCCTGCATATTATCCAGAATTAATTCAAAGAAAGTCACCTTTCAGAAATGGTGCTGAATATACAATCACCAACGTCAGTCTCTACTGTGTGTACTCCACCTAATTTCCTTGTTCAAAAGCTGAGGTTTTACTTCCTGGAGAGGCAAGAAGAAAATCAATGTCCTTTCTTGCTTTATCTGAAACTTGGTAGTCGATCTCCAGCGAGGCCATCAGGGATTTAGTCTTGTGCATGTTGCCATCAAGGAAGGCTGAGGCTGGCCCAGGAGCCGGCTGGCTCTTGTCAACCATCCTGTTAGACTGGAAGAAGCTGATCCATCCAAGTTGGCTGAGAATCTCTAGAGGGTGGTGGCAAGTGTCCTCAGGGCTGGGAGCATAGTCCAAGAAAGGGAGGGCTCTGGGACAGTCACTTTCTGAACCCTTCTCGGCCTCTGCCCCTTCAGGACCCCCTTCCTCCTAACGTTTTATTTTGAAAATTTTTCAATCCTGCAAAACAGTTGAGAGAAAGATAAAATTAACCTCTATGTAGCCTTCACCCTCTGGTAACCACCAATCCAATCTCTGTCTCTATGTGATTGTTTTTGTTTTTATCTTCTACATATGAGTGAGATCATACAGTACTTGACTTTCTCCCTCTGACTTACTTCACTTAGCATAATCCCCTCAAGGTCCATCCAGGTTGTCACAACCTAACTGCCTTTTAAAAATACAAAGTAAAACAAGGAGATACAATTTTTCAATGATAATGACCAGCTTGGGGAAGAGTGTGGGAAGATGAGCATCCCCTCTTAGTCTGTGGTGGAGTGTAACCTGTAACCAGTCTCTGGAGGGCAGTTTCACGGTGTGTAGGATGAGTTATATAGGAAAAAACTGGAAATGTCCCCAGTACAGGATGGGGTAAAAAAGTATGGTATATTTATATAATGAAATACTATGAAAGCATGAAAAAATGATATAGCTCTCTATTATTACAGAAATATATTCATATTAATATATTTATTATTTATAATAACATCTAATAAATAATAATTAATATATAATATATTGTGTTAATATATTATAATTTAATATAAATAATATCAGTGTTTAAACATTAAAAACTAAATTTATTTTATAATTGAATTAATATAAATATATTAAAGTATACGACATAATACAAAATTAGCTCTACATAGATATTAACATATATATTATAATGACATATATAATATATAGTCATATATATTAACATATATAATACATATAATTATAGAAATATATTGTCAAAAATATTATTGATTATTGATATCAATATACTGATATATCTATCAGTTCATTAGCAGTGGTTATCTTTGGGTGGTAGGATAACAGGTGATTTTTATTTTCATCTTTATTCTTACCTATATTGTCTGAACTTTTCATAATGGATATGAATTTTATAACTAGAAAAAAACTATGTGGAAAAGCTTTTTAAAATAAACAAAAATGCCCAAAAGACAAACAACAAGGGAAAAAACCCAGTTCTGTTGGCACCTGCATCATGGTCTAAGGGCCAAAGTCCACACTCATTTCCGTGGCACCAAAGCCCTTTGCAGGACCTTTAACCCTTCCAGGTGGAGTTAGTTGCTTTCCCGGAATCATAATCTATTCATACGTCTATAAACCAGAGTCTATGAACTCCTTGAGGAAAGAATTTTCCCCAGTGCCAGCCCAGTGCCCAGCACCTAGCAAGGTGCTCAGTAAAGGTTTGTTGAATGACTGAATGATTGTGGTAAACCCTGAGACCAGATGGATAGGTTGGGGCCAGCCTAAGAAGAAGGAAGCTAAAACTCTAAGGCACCTTTGTCCTGGGGACTAGAGGGCTCCTCTTGTTACTCTCATTCCCTGTGTGACACTGGCAACAGCAGGTAGAGCAGGAGTGGTTTGGCCCACTTGGTGTGTGGTGTCTGTGAAACAGTCCAGAAATGGCAGTGCCAGCTGGGGCTGACCCAGCTCAGTGGGGGCAGTGATAGGAAGGGAGGACCAAGGCTCCTGACCAAGCCAGGTTTCAGGAAAACTCCTTCCCCCTCAGCTGTTCAGCTGATGATAGCCCTGCCTCAAACATGAGTCTACCCAAAATACTCTGTGTGGCCAGAGTCTGGTTAACCAACAGGTAACTCTCCTTTGAAAAAGCAAATATTTATACTGAACAAGGCTCCTGGCAATGAAGGCCCAAAAGTGCATGTTTCTGGAAAAGGGGGATGAATTGGTTTTTTTCTTGCTGCCTCAACAAATTCCCACAAACTCATTGGCTTAAAACAACACAATTTATCATCTTGCAGTTCTGCAGTCAGAAGTCTAAAACAAGTCTCATGGGGTTAAAATGAAGGCAGGGCTGCTTTCCTTTCTGGAGACTAAAGGAAAATCCCTGTCCTTACCTTTTCCAGCTTCTGGAGTCAGCCACATTCCTTGACTTATGGCCTCTTCTTGCATCTTTAAAGCCAGCATGTTGCATCTCTCTGACCGTTCTTCTGTGGCCACGTCTCCCTTGGACCACCGTCAGGAAAAGTCCTCCTCTTTTAACACCCCATGTGGTTATACTGGGCCTACCCAAATAATCCTTGACGATCCCCTCGTCTCAAGGTCCTTAACCTTAACCACACCTGTAAGGACCTTCATGCCACGTATGGTAATACACTCCCAGGATCCAGGAATTGGGACATGAAGATCTTTGTGGGGGGTGGGCATTATTCTTCCTACTACAGGGCGTGATATGGAGAAAAGTCTAAAATTCTTCATAATAAGGAGCTAGTTCTGTATACAATGACATGGAAAATATCCACAATATATTTTTAAATGAAAATAAGCAAGTTCAGTAAATATGTATGGAATGATCCCAATTTTGTGGAACCTCCCCTTCCGCTCACTAAACTCTGAGTGTATGCTCACTGAGCCACCTCCCACCTGTCATGGCCTGGCTTCGGGGGTAGATGGTGGAGCCCACGTCACTCACTCACACCCTCAGGGCACTGGGTAGACAGAGGGGGCAGTCCCACCTCAGGTTTTGCTGTCAGTGGTCATTAGATAAATAGATTTTTGGCTAACAATAAATACAAATAGTATTTTAGCAAACTCATTTGTGGCAAGTTGATCTACAGTAATAATAACAATGATGATAATAAATAACGAAATAAAAAAAAATGTATCACTAACTTACCAACCTTCTATTTACTGGCTACCTCTTTTGTAACTTGACTGCTCCTCCTGTATGTGTATGGGTGGCTCTTATGTATACATCCCTCACGTTTCTGGGCTGTTTATTTTTTTTTAAATGTCTGACTCTTAACTAAACAATTCTTTGAAGTCCTCTTTTAGGAGAAGAGTTTAGAAAGGTTCAAGACATCAGAGCAGAGAGCATAGGCTCTGATACCTGTCCAAATAGCAGAGGGATAGCCAGAGAGGACCACACACACTAAATGGCCAGAGGCAAGTAAGCAAGCTGGAAAGTGGGAAGCGGGGCTTACAGCAAGAGTCTTGTAGTTATAATTTTAAACTTCTTCACCTTCCAAACTACATACAAAATATATCCGTGGATATTAGGCAGCAAACCTTAACCATGGTTTCAGAGGGGAGGAGACACAGGGGGAACTTTCACTTTCACTCAGTAGACCTCTGTTTGCATTTTTACAAGGGGAATACATACACGTGTTGGGCTTGTAAAATAAAAACTACTTTAAACACTGAGGTTACTTCTGGGAAGAGGATGTGAGAGAAGTTAGGATTTTATAGTTTTGTACTGCTTGACGTTTTTTACACCACGTTCGTATGATTTTCCCAATAAAAACATTGGCAACTGATACACACAAGCCTGGGAGGCAGCTTCCCCACCAACCAGATAATTCAACTCTCTCAACTGTACTCTTCTCATGTACTCTCTCTCACATAGCGATAATAACACCTACCTTATATGCATCTTCTGAGCATTTTTTTTCCTCCCATGTATAGTGTCTGACTTAGTAACTATTAATAAAAAAAACAACTCCCTCTCTCTGTTCCATTTCCTTTGGGCCTGCTGCCTTTTAGGTAATGGCTCTCAAATTTGACAAGTCAATCAGCTTGAGCACTGTAGGTAGTTGCTAATACATGAATTATTAAGCTGATTTTAATTCCAGACTGGACTCTCCTGGTGGGCAGGGCCTGGCATCTTCTTCCTCTTCATTGTTCCAGTACTTACATTTGCCACAAAGCCTGAACTCAACCATTTGCTGAATTTAATGAAATTTAACACAAAAGACTGAGGATTTCCAGCCCCTAAGCAGGCCAAACCAGGATGTACTTTTGAGCAGGCGACAATCTTCAAACTCCTTAAATTAAACCATTTAACAATGGTCATCTCTGGGTTGTAGGATTACGGGTGGTTTTAGTTTTCTTCTTTATAGTTATTGGTATGTTCCAATTTTCTATCATATGCATATATTACTTTTATGAGCAGAAAAAAAATAAAAGTCAATTGAAAAAATAATACTACATATCGTGGTGCTGGTTCCTGCTTATCTACTCCCCTCACCTTCTCATATGCTTCTAATCCTTGCCCTGATTGCCAAGCCATCCAATGAACCCCTTCCCATGAAAGTGCCCGAAGTGATTTTTAGTGAAAATTATGAGGCCTTTAGAATCAGATGGCCCAGTATTTGAATCCGAGCTCAGTGTGAATGTGAGCAAGTTTCTTACTTCTCTGAGTCTGTATTCTTATCTGTAAATGAAAGTAAAACCTACCTTCTAGATCATTGTGTAGTTTGAGTCAGGAGTTTCCCAAACTTTAACATGTATATGAAACATCTGGAATGTTGTTAAATGCAGGCTCTGATTTAGTATGTCTGGAATGGGCCCAAGAGTCTACATTTCTAAGAGCCCCTAGGTGTTGCTGATGCTAGTGATGAAAGGCCCACACTTTGAATTACACACTTGAAAGAGCCCTGGCACAAATGTCCTACCTAAGCTTGTTCCTCTCCTCTCAAGTGGACCTGGCTTTCTGGCTGTTTGGATGAGATCATCTCAGAAAACTGCTGGCTGAGATGCATCAGGTGTAACTCAATTCATTTGAGCTTTAACCTCTTTCTATTTTTCTCCCCACTTTAATATCTTTTTTTTTCTTTGCTAAGGAAGATTTGCCCTGAGCTAACATCATGCCAATCTTTCTCTATTTTTTAGTATGTGGGCTGCCAGCACAGCATAGCCACTAACAGAGCAGTGTAGGTCTGCGCCTAGGAACTGAACCCAGGCTGCCAAAGTGGGAGCACTGAACTTAACCACTACGCCACTGGGGCTGGCCCAATATCCTTCTTTCTCTTTCTGTTCAAGTACTTCATTCTTCTTTTGCCTAAAAACAATACAGGTATCCGTGCTTTTAGGGTTTCTTTTTTTTAAAACAGCTTTATTGAGGTATAATTAATACACAATAAATTACACTTAAAGTGTACAATTTAATAAGTTCTAATATATGTATACAGCTGTGAAACCATCATCAAAGTCAAGATAAAGAACATATCCATCACCTCTGAAGTTCCCTCCTGCTCCTGATGCTCCCCCCGCCCCCTGGAAATCACTCATCTGCTTCCTGTTACATAGGTTAGTTTTATCTTTTCTAGAGTTTTATATAAACAGAATCACACAGTATATGTTATTCTTTGTTTGGCTTCTTTCATTCAGCATAATTATTTCACCCATCTTGTGTGTACAAATAGTTTATTCCTTGCTTATTGCTGATAGTATTCCATTGTATGGATATCCACTATGACTTATCCATTCCACATTCTGGAAAATATTTACTATTTTGAATAAATGTTCATTTAAAAATTTTTTTAGGAGAGTCATATAGGCAAAAAAAAAAAAAAAAAATCCATCTGTTAATCCCACTACTGGGAGATGACACTATTAAATTGCCATGTTTGTAGACTTCCAGAAGTTTGCCCTACTAGGCAAACAGTCCTCTCACTTTTAGAAAAACAGATTTATATCTGATTTTCACCCTCACTATTCAAAACATGTCATAAATGGAAATCCAACAACAATATAGGAGTTCCCCAAACATAGGAAACTGAAAGATATACTTTTCTGTCTTCACTGTTTTTTAGTGCTTTTAAAATTGGTTTTCTAAGTGAATAGGTCAGAATCTGTCTTTAATGAGTTTTAAGTATAGTATTTCTCTGTGATGTGGTAAACAAGGAAGTCAGAGGTGAAAAATAGCCCTGTCTCTTCCTATACTCCCAGGGCACTAGAAAACAATTCAACACTAAATGTCAGGACTTAAGAACCTTAAGTGAGTTAAACAAACAAAGAAAAAACAAACAAACAAATGAGAAGGACAGGAGTGTCTTTACGCATAACTTTACATATGACAATTATTCTTTTTTTTCTTTTAAAGATTTTATTTTTCCTTTTTCTCCCAAAGCTCCCTAGTACATAGTTGTGTATTTTTTAGTTGTGGGTCCTTCTAGTTGTGGCATATGGGATGTCGCCTCAGCATGGCCTGATGAGTGGTGCCATGTCCATGCCCAGGATTCAAACTGGCAAAACCCTGGGCTGCCAAAGCGGAGCGTGGAACTTAACCACTTGGCCAGGGGGCCGGCCCCGACAATTATTCTTATATTTCAAGAGAGTTATAGACAGAGCTAGGAGAAAAACCATGTAAATGATATTAATAAGTACACTTGTTAAATATTAGAACATTTATAATAGAATATAATGTTTGTAATAATAATAAACATAATGTGTACACTTGTAAACATTTTAGAAACTCACTGTGTGCTAGGAACTGTGCGAGGCTCTCTCTGTGTGTGCATTGTCTCCTTTCCTTAGGTCTCTGGGGAGTATTCTCCTTCCTCCAGTTTAGACATGGCATCCATAACGGGGACTACTGAAAGGTCTAAAAATCCGTACAAGAAATCCAGAAGATATTTGTTGTGCTCCTTGGGGAAACACAACTCAACTCCCTTCAACTGAAAACCACGGTGATTTCCAAGATCTCTGCCCCTCCCGCCCCCCTGATTCATTTCCTCTTCTCACAGTTTCACTCAGAAAAGACCCACGGCGTCAGCCACCATATGATGGCAGCATCTTTCTTTATAGTATCCCCGAAGTGTAGGTTTTCTTAATGAGTCTGTATAACATTGTCACGCTTTTATAGTCAGTAGGTTTAACTTTGGGCCCAGGGCAGTTGCAAGCCAAATTCTCACAACTGTGGAGTCCTTCATCTTGCAAGTATGTGAAGCATGAATGCCAGTGCCATCAGGCCTGAGTTTGGATCCTGGTCTCTTAGCCTTTGTTTTCTCTATACATAAAAATTAATGGGCTAAGTCCTGCCTCCTAGAGTTTATTCACATATTCGCTCATTCGTTCGTTCACTCACTCATTCAGTGTACGGAATACCTACTATTTGCCAAGCACCGTTCTAGTGTGGGAATTTGCGGGAAATGAGGTACCTAAAGGAGCCTGTACGAGCCTGTAAACTCTCAGACTCTAAGGAAACAGTTACTGCTTTTACTATCAGTGGTTGTTTTCCTCACAAATCAACAAAACACAGAAAATTACCTAAACAACAGCGGGATGATACAGAAAAGAATTTCTTGGCACAGAGCTTTCCAAAAGGAAATTTTTCCCTGAAGGGATTCAGCAAGGGAGAAGATCCTTATTCACTCTGGACCCTTGTCTGAGCCATCCTCAGGAGGCCTCGAAGTTCCTGGATATTTTTTTGCCTCAAGAATCCAGAAACCCTACAGCGTATTCCCGGGCTGTAATTATTAACCGAAGTTCTTATATCTGTCCTGCACCAACCATCCTCTATCTATGCTCTTAATTTTTTCTGGGCTTCAGTTTTCTAGAATGAAAATCGCAGGTTCTAGGCTCCTAACTGGCTGGAGCATGGTAGGCAAGTCACTTAGCATCTCTGGGGCTGCTTCGCAAAGCGAGGGCGCTGGACCAAGATGCCTCCAGACTGAAGTTCTAGGATGGGCGGCCTGCACCCCAAGTTCTGGCGCGCACCCCAGATCGAAGGGCGACGATTTACAGACAGCACCCTCACCAGGTCCAACCCATGACTCCCTAAGCATCACGAGGCTTTATAAGAAAATGAAACCGAAAAGGGTAAAGTCCCTCTTTCTAACCTGACCGGGCGTCGCGCGCTAGGAGACAAGTGACGGCCACCGCGGGCAGGGTTCTGATTGGCGGCACGCGAGGGGAATATAAGCGCGAGCGCGGGGCCGGGAGCTCACTGCTGCGTCCCCTGCTGCTGTGGTAGCTATGGCTCGCGTCGTGGCGCTCGTCCTGCTCGGGCTACTCTCCCTGACTGGCCTGGAGGCCGTCCCGCGTGAGTGTCCCCTGCTGCCCTTCCCTCCTCCCTTAGCCCTTCCTTTCCCGCCCCCCACCCTCTTTGGCAGTCCCGACATTCTCTAACACACCAGTTCCCAAGTTCTCCTTCCCGGCCGGGGACCAGCCCGGGGCTAGGTCTCGGGATGGGGAAGCGGTGGGGTGGCCGTGGAGGGGGGACGGATTTCAGCTCAGGACACAAGCTTTTTTTTCTTCCTTCTCCGGGAGCGGGGTCGGGGGAGACCTCTGGCACGCTCCGGCCGGGTGGGTCGGGGCTAAGTTTCGGGGTGTTGATAAGCTTCCGAGCGACCGAGGTGGGGGAGGGTTTCTCTTCCGCCTTTCGCGGCACCTCTCGCTCCCCGGGCACAGCTGGAAGAGAGGGCGGGTAGGTGGGTCCCAAAGGCGTGGACTTGGGGGCTGTGCATGGGTGCAGACAATTGTCTTTGCGGGAGGCACCGCCTGGGTAAGTCAGTCCGAGGCAACGCTGCTCGGCTCGGACTGGGAGGGCTTCGGGCTTCCTCCCTGCGCCCGCTAGGTTCGCATGCCCCTCCGCACTTCCTCACGAATATGGAACCAAACCATGGTGAGGAATCATTAATTCACTTGTTCCCGTTACATGTCGCTTTTCATAATAATCATAAGAGCTACCTGTTAGTGACAGCCGGGGACATTAAGTGCTTTATCTCATTTAGTTCTAAAATGTGCCTATGAAGTAAATACGTTATCATCAGCATCTCACAGATGAAGACACTGAGGCACCAAGAGTTTAAGTGACTTAATCACACAGGGGATAAATGGCAGACAGTCGAGCCTGACCAGAGCATTCTGCGAGTTGTGCGCCTTTTGGCTGTAATCCTTTCGTTTTTCAGAACCGCCTCCCCACCTCCCTGTGTCAGGTTCTACAGAGCTAGCTGGCCGGCCATGAGCCCCTGTTGCCTTTTCTTCCCAGAAGGCTTCCGTCTTCTCTGGCTCCTTGCCTGGTTCTTTCCAAGATGAACTGAGCCTCTACTTTCAGTTTTGAAAATCAAACATTTATCAGTCAGGGAGGTCATAAAACCAGTGACGGGGTAATCAACATGGTTACTCAGATTGTCTCTGTAGGACACTGTAGATCTTGAGCACGTTCTAAATACCCGGCAACACACCAGAACCTCTCATTTTTTCCCCTCACAAAGGGCTCTGTGAAGCAGGGTTTTTTAGTCATGAAAAAAGGTATTTAATTTATAATTTATTTACAGAATACAACATAATGTCTATATCATCACTCTTATTGATATTTGCTACCGACTGTAGAAATCTTTTGAAAAATAACAAGATGACATTAAAAAAATCTTAATTTGAAAATTTCCAAAGTAATACATGCCTTGCAGAGACCATTTCTGGAAGATACACGAGAAATGAGTAATGGCAGTTGTCTCTGGGGGTCTATCTTCTGCTCTGTCCCACATTATGTATAGGTTTTGTTTGTTTCACTATGGGCATAAATTATTTTTCAGTTACACTTCAGAAGCTCAAATATCTCTCCCAAGTCAAAAAGCCAATAAGTGGCTGAGCCTAGATTTAAAGTTAGGCTTGTCTGATACTCATCCTCCTCTTAGAAGAGATTATTGTGGTGTTCTTGCAAAACCCTGCCTGACTCTCTCACAGAGAGAATTCTAGGCTGGATGAACCTGTGCTCTGATTCCTTTGGTGCTTATGTTCTAATTATTAGAAGCTGAAATGCAAAGAGCTTTCTGATTTGTCTTCATTTTTAATTTTATGGAAAAAAAAATCAGGGCTTTATTGGAATCCCCAGTCCAGCTCTTGATGGTACTGGTGACCTTTCCTTTGGTGATAGGTGTTTCTCGACAGATACATCTGGTTACAGTAGCCTTGTATTCCTCTCTTCACCACTTCCTGGACATGGAGGAGGAGCTTCCCTCTAGTAATCATGTACCCTGAATGTATGTGTATTTAAAAGTGAATCATACACATGTATAGTGTCAATCTGTATATTTAGTAGCAGTAACACTTCTCTTCATTTTGGATGAAAAATATAGAGTGTGTAATATTTTTTCCACATCTGCATGGATGGTCTAGTTGTGCATCTCATTTTGGAAACCACTGTTCTGTAGCATTATGCAATGTATTCCCAACCTGGCTAGTTATGGCAATCACTTGAGGGTGCTAATTAAAAATGCAAATCCCACTCTGATAGGCATTACTCCACTTGGTCATAATGGAGAGTATGTTCTCTCTCATTGGCCATAGTCCTTACTCTTCTCTACTGTTCTTAAGCCCAACTCATTCATTTAAGGTATTTGCCCACTTCTGTAGGCATTTAAGTTTTGTTTCTTTGTTGTCTAGCTCATGAAATCAGGTACAAAATCAGATAGGGGTTTGGTGTATAACTCTGGGCAGGATGAAAAGGTTGTGTTTTGTAGGTACATACTTTGGGCTGACTATCTTAGGAATCTGAGCAAGGAGATAATAATAATAACATCTGCCACTTACAGAGCAATCGAAATTGCTGTTTTTGCCAGGCACTGTATTAGACACTTAATACATTTTGAGAAGTCAGATAGCTGTGGATCTAGTCAGGACCAGGAACCAAAAACAAAAGAAGTAAACATAAGAAAAAACATTGACGGGGCTACAACAAGGAACAATAACATGGTTTTTTTTTTCCTTTTTTTGGTGAGGAAGATTCACCCTGAGCTAACATCCATTGCCAATTTTCATTCTTTCTTTTTTTTTTTTGCTTGAGAAAGAGTAGCCCTGAGCTAACATCTGTGCCAGTCTTCTTCTACTTTGTATGTGGGATGCCTCCACAGCATGGCTGATGAGAGGAGTAGGTCCATGCCAGCGATCCGAACCCCTGAACCCTGGCTGTCAAAGCAGAGCGCACAGAACTTTAACCACTTGGCCACAGGGCCGGCCACCCAGCATGAGTTTTTTGATGTGGCTGCTATCGAGGGTGTATGAAGTTTGAAAAGTAGTTTGGGGCAAAATCATGTAGACTCTTGATTGATGTGTTAAGGAATTCTGTGGGTGCTGAGAAGTCATCAAAAGTTCTTGAGAGCCTCCATAGAAAGGTTCTTAAAGATTTGTCACGATCTCTGGTGACAGACAGAGCTTCACAGAAGCTCATTTGGCCAGAGTGGAAATGGAATTGGGAGAAATGGATGATCAAATTTAAACACTTTGTACTTAATCTAGCTTTAGATCAAGGTGGTCCCAAGTGAAATACTCTCCAATTTTCATTTGTCTTTCCCTGATGTTCTCCAGGTGTTCCGAAGGTTCAGGTTTACTCACGTCACCCAGCAGAGAATGGAAAGCCAAATTTCCTGAACTGCTATGTCTCTGGGTTCCATCCGCCTGAGATTGAAATTGATTTGCTAAAGAATGGAGAGAAGATGAAAGTCGACCGGTCAGACCTGTCTTTCAGCAAGGACTGGTCTTTCTATCTTCTGGTCCATACTGACTTTACTCCCAATGGTGTGGATGAGTATAGTTGCCGTGTACAGCACTCTACTCTCAAAGACCCCCTGATAGTTAAGTGGGGTAAGTTTTCAAATTCTTTCCTTAGCTGCTGACGGTTGTATCTGAGTCTAGCCACAGCATAAAGCTGTTTTGGTATATATAAGTATATATACACACAAATCTGCATACTGGGATAGTCAGGGAATGTTATTAAAGCTCTGATTAGTGGCAGCTTCTGTGAGACCTCTGCACAGTGTGGTCTCCGAAACAGTAGTTTCCCTGAAGCGAGCAGCAGCAGCGCTTGCACAAATGCCCATGCACCCCCAATGTTTCTCACTTACTGGCTTCCTTGGGCTTTCCGGACAGCCTCACAGATACTTAGGACCAATGAGAGCCTCAGGGAGGCACAGGCCTTTGTCTGTAAGCCCTGCTATCCTAGCGCCCTACCATCCTGGACTCCTCCAGTAACCTCTGGCAGGGCTGGGATCTGAGGCTAGTAGGCAGGAGGGACCTACTGGGTAGTTCTAAACAAGGTATTCCTGGGTGGGACAGCAGGCTCTTCTGCCAGCCTCATTTATAGAAGTTTTACACATTGTTAATATATAGTATTTTAAAAGTAAAACTTACTGTTTTTCTTTTTCTTTCTCCGTTTTCTTTTTCATAGATCGAGACCTCTAACCAGCATCATGAAGGTAGGTTTCTAACCTTAAGAAAATGCTTTTTTGTTCCACTATCCTGGAGACTATTTACAGACAGTTCTAATATGACACCCTCACTATATGGAGGACATTAGTAAAGCTAGCATTTCAGCAGGCAAAGAAGAATCCTATGGGGTCACATTCCCTTCTCCTGTGGAGTGACATGAGGAACGTGTGTGGCTCCAGGGGTGACTCTGCCAGCATCACTGACCCTCTAAAAGGAGGACAGAGGACCTGTTGGTGTGGTGACGGGATAGAGGCAGCTAGTTACCCACACCACCTGCAAGCATTTGATCCTTCTTCTGCCATTTCTACATTGGGCATCTGAGCCTTCAAAAATGAACCACTCTCTTCCTTTGCATGGCAGTTACTTTATTATCTGGCCAGAAGAGAGGAGTGACATGGTTCTGCAGATGCCCCGTTCTTTCAATCTCTTGTTCAGCCTTAGTGTGATTGCCTTCTAGAGGCTCCCAGTCCAGTAGAGGAGAGAAATGGAAACAGATTGTTATAGATGTAATAGATGTATCTACAAGGGGCTCTAGCAGTGTGAAAGAGGGAGGAATTGGACTTCTCTGCATCTTTGGTTGTAGTCTAGAGGTAAAAATTCCAGCCTTTCAATGAAAGTCTATTCTACAGAGTACCTTGATGCTGAAAACCTATTCATATCTCCTGTTATATTCTAGGACAGGGAAATTAATTTGAGAGAGCATTAGGGAGGTTGGGTGTCCTGCCCAGAGTCACAGTTACTAAAATGGTAGAACCAGGGTCTGAACTCTAATAACAGCATTCTTTCCTTTAAGGTTATGGGAGAACCAATGGAATATGCTCTTTGTAATGGGTCTGGAAAACTGTCTGCAGCTACTTCTTTTACAAACAGTGATCTACACAGCAGAAGTTAATCAAGTTTGATGGTGCGATGTGTAATCCAAATAAAATAAATGCATTTGCTAATAAGCCTTTTTTCTTTTTTTCAGGCTTGAAGATTCCTCATTTGGATTTGACTAGTTCCAAATTGTGCTTACTCTTTAATACTTACATACTTTCATGCTTTATGCACATAAATCAGGAAGCTGTACTGATCTTAATACAAATATTAGCTTCTTTATAACTCTACTTTGGCCGCTATGTCTCCTTGTTTGACCTGTGTGGGCAGGTAGCTAGAGGGAGATCCTGGCAGCTTAGAAGTGGGTGGGAAAGAATTCACATGTTAAACATGAACATTTTGGTCAGATATGAACTCTTCAGTTTCTTGTGCACAGAAAACTGGATAACACGATAGTTATGTAGGTTTAGAGTTAATCTTCAGTTTGAATACTTTGCTTAGAATTTGAGAAAAATTTTTTGAAGGATAATTTTCAGAAGTATTGGAAATTTGTTATCATGGATGATTTTTTTTGGCGAAATTCATATTTACCTCTTACACCTGTTTAAAAAAAAAGACATGGTGGAGCACATTTTGATTTTTCTGTTTCACTAATTAAAACAATGGTAAAACTTGATGTGTTCAGTTTCTTCTATATCACTCCCCCTCTGACCCCTTTGTTTTCAAACAGGAAAACGGTCTTCAAGTGTCACTTGGAGAAGAGTGTAAACCCCTGGGATATAGGGTTTGGCTCACAGTGGAAGGGGCCTCAGCAGTTTGCATTTTACAGATGAGGAACAGCACCCCAGAGAAGTTAAATGACTGAGTCAGGGTGGTACTGCTGTCTGCTGGGAGACCAACTTTTAGCCAAAGTTCTGTTCCTTGGGCCAAGACAGGAGGAGTATGCAGACTCTAAGAGGGTGCAAAAGCATCTGGAGGATTTCATATTTAACAGTAATAGATAGACTTTGGGTGAAAAATACTAGATTTTTAAATTCAAAGCATAGTTTATACATGATAACTAGCTTTGTGCATTTGTTTATTTGACCAAGAATTTGAGTTAGGTAGTGCTAGGTACTGACAAGATGAATAAAACACAACATGGCTCTCAAATTGCTCAGTTTAGGAGAGGGGCAGACGTGCACTCTATCAATGAAAATACATCCTGATAAAGAGTGTGGCACAGGTATGCCCAAAGAACTAGGTGATAGGAAAATGTGTTCAAGGGATGACAAAAAACTTTAGGTAGGTGTTCGGGAAGCCATTTGCTTGAGCTGAGACTTGGTGGGTAGTAGTTCTCCTAATTGGTGAGTGGGGCCTGAGCTTTCCAGGCAGGGGGGCAAATTGTGAGAAGTACAGAGGTATGCCAAGTGTGGGTAATTCCAAACAGTAAAGCAAGAGTACCTAGGGGAAGACTTGTAGGCACTCAGCTGAGCAGATTGAGGGGCGACTGACTTAGAGCAGTAACTCTCCACTCTGGATGCACATTAGAATCACCTGTGGAACTTACTGAAAAATACCAGTTCTAAAAAATAGTCTATTTAAAAAACCCCCGCTTCCCAGGCTCCAATGCAGACCAACTAAATCACAATCTCTAAGTATGGAGCCCTGATATCAGTATTATTATTATTATTATTAATTATTATTAAGACTTTATGTTTTTAGAGCAGTTTTAGGTTCACAGCAAAACTGAAGGGAAGGTACAGAGATTTCCCATATAGCCCCTGCCCCGCCATGCATAGTCTCCCCCGTTATCAACACCCCCATCCAGAGTGGTACGTTTCTTAGAACTGACAAACCTGCATTGATACACCATAATCACCAAAGCCCATAGTTTACATTATAGTTCACTCTTGGTGGTGAATGTTCTATGGTTTTAATAAATGTATAATGATATGTATCCATCATGGTATCAGAGTATTTCACTGCCCTAAAAATCCCCTGTATTCTGCCTATTCATTCTCCCCAACCCTGCCCCAACCCCTGGCAACCATTGATCTTTTTACTGTCTCCATAGTTTTGCCTTATCCAGAATGTCATATAGTTGGAATCATACCATATACAGCCTTTTCCTATTGGCTTCTTTCACTTAATAATATGCATTTAAGTTTTTTCCATGTCTTTTCATGACTTGATAGCTCATTTCTTTTTAGCGTTGAATAATATCCCATGGTCTGGATACACCACAGTGTATTATCCATTCACCTACTCAGGACATCTTGGGTGGTTCCAAATTTTAGCAATTATGAATAAAGCTGCTATAAATATTGTGAGCATGTTTTTTGTGTGGACATAAGTTTTCACAGTATTGTTTTTAAAAATCTCTAGCTAGTTCTAATGTGCAGCCACTGTTGAGACCACCCATTGAGTTAAATCAAAAAAGACTTTCTATTCCATGTCATACAATGGAACTATTTTGTGAAAAGCTGCTTTGCTGGCTGATGCACCAATGTAATGCTCCTTTGGCGCATGCCTTTGTCCTCCATTTCAGAAGAAGAGAATGATTAAAGAGGAGGAATATCTGAGTTTAATTAAGCTTACTAAATATAACTGTGCAATGCAAGTTAAACAGAAAAGTCTCAATGTCAGTAATAAAGAATTAGATCTTAGGGGCTGGCCCAGTGGTGCAGTGGTTAAGTTCGCACGTTCTGCAGTGTTGGCCTGGGGTTCGCTGGTTCGGATCCTGGGTGCGGACATGGCACTGCTTGTCAAGCCATGCTGTGGCAGGCATCCCACATATAAAGTAGAGGAAGATGGGCACGGATGTTAGCTCAGGGCCAGTCTTCCTTGGCAAAAAAAAAAGAGGATTAAAAAAAAAAAGAGGGGGGCTGGCCCCGTGGCCGAGTGGTTAAGTTCGCGCGCTCCGCTGCAGGCTGCCCAGTGTTTCGTTGGTTTGAATCCTGGGCGCGGACATGGCACTGCTCATCAAACCACGCTGAGGCAGCGTCCCACATGCCACAACTACGAGGGACCCACAACGAAGAATATACAATTATGTACCGGGGGGGCTTTGGAGAGAAAAAGGAAAAAATAAAATCTTAAAAAAAAAAAAAGAGGATTGGCGGTAGATGTTAGCTCAGGGCTAATCTTCCTCCAAAAAAAAAAAAAAAAAAGAAAAGAATTAGCTCTGATATACTGACATGGAAGAATATCCATGCTATATTGCTGAAGCAAAAAAGTAGCTTCCAGAAAATATACATTGTAAGCCATTAAATCCAAACTATACATAGGCACACACATTATATATTTGTATCACGCACAAAAGTAGGTCTGGAAGGTGACGCCCTGAACTGTTGTCAGTGGTTGCTCAAGGAAAGGGAGAGGGGTAAATAAAGAGAAGGAAGCTGACTAGTCTGCTGGAAAGTCAATTTGCTAGCAGGCATTTTCCTGAATATCGGTTGGCATTTTTCTGAAACCTTATATGTGTCTGTGAGGGGAGGGATTTTGGGGTGGGATGGGAGTGGAAGAGGAGAAGGGGATACAGGGCAGGCTGAGACCCTAAGCAGTGGTGTTTCCTTCCTGCTGCTCACCTGGGCCAACAGAGGGCCTGTGTCCCGCCCTTCTAAACGCTGGGGAATGTGGCAGCTGAGCTAACCACCACCTCCCATGGCCTGGCCGAATGGAAGGAGGGTGGAACCCACAGGGCTCTCCCACTCTCCAAGGTAGAGGACTGGTCTCACCCCAGACTATGTTGGTGAAAGGGCGCAAGGAAGCTGTCTCTCAGCCTGGGGCAAATATACCATTTGAAACATTGTTTGGCTAATGGATACATAAAAATTTTCTTTTAGAAAATTGATTTTAGGATTGTTCCAAAATTCTCTTCCTCCTCATCAAATAATGAATGTAAAAAAATTCATAAACCCCTGCAATCTCCTATGACAGAGGTTACCCCCTTTTGGAACCCACTGGATTCTCTCAGTGTGTACCTATTACTCTCCATTTTATATTATGGCTACTTTTAAAATTTAATCTTTACTAAATAGTTCTCCTTGCATTTCCTCATGATTTCCCTTTTAGAAGAATTCAGGAATGTCCGAGAAACCAGAGAAAGACAGCATATGATTTGATGCATGTTCTAGAACTACAGCGACAGCCTGAGGGGACCCCATGTCTTAACAGATCAAAAGGAGTGATAGTGAGAAAAAGCTGCAAGGTAGGAGCTATTGCTTCAGATAATTCACCAAGGTGAAGGGGAAAAAAACGCATCTGGAAGAGAGAGTCCAAAGAAATACAGAAATGCAAGTTAGAATTCAGCAATTTTAACCTAGAATTGCTCTGTTGATCCAAGGACCTACAAGGAAACATCAAGATGAGACTGTGACTGTAGCTTAGTAGCGTGTGTGTAATAGTCCTCAAGAATGGTGCTCCGATCTTTGCAGCCATGGCAGTCATCCTGCTCATCCCCCCTTTCAGAGCCTCAGCATTTCCCTGTCTCAGGCACTCCATGCTGAGGTGCTACCATTTTCAGACACTTTTAAACAAACTATATTAGCCTTTTTACTTTTTTTTTTCTCTCACTCTCTCTAAGCAGATACGCCCACAGGAAAAAGTCCCAGATATATACACAACAACCTCTTAACAATGTTTACCCTGGGGAAGGGGCTAAGATGGCAGGATAAAGATGAAGGCAGACTTTTTAAATATTATTCTACATACTTCTTTATGATGTGAATTTTTATGACTTTTATTATTTGAGTATAGCTCATTATTTTAAAAATAGAAAGTTTATATAGGCAGAAAGGAAAAAAAACCTTGTTAATTCCACCACCCAGACATAACCACTTATCAGCGTTCATTTTGGTGTGGTTAGCTTTTCTGGAGATTTTTATTTTTTATTCTGTCTTTTAAAAAATGGTCATTATTATTATTATGTTTATTTAAAAAGCTTTTAAAATAATTTTTATGTCTCACTTTTTTTCACTATCCCTAATGAAAACATGGTATAAATGGAAACAATACAGAGAACTGGCAAATGTTTTTTCTAATTTTTGTCAACAACCACTATCCCAATATCTTTGGGCTGTTGCTTTTTACTTGTATTTCTTATATTGTAAACCCTTGAGGCAAAATTCAAGGTCTTTCTTTAATAAAATAAACATTTTGTCTGTGATGCCATTAAGGTTTTAGGGGCAAAAATTAGCCTTATGTCTCATTGGACTCTAGGCTTTTAGAAAAAAAATTGAACACTAACATTTGGGTCCTAGATATCTTACAAGAAATGAATTATCTGTGAGTACCTTGATTAGGAACTTCACACATTAAAAACTATTCTGATACTTTGGAGAGTTATAGAAAGGGCTGATCAAAAAAAAATCCCTAGTAAATATAATTTAAAATAATAGTTTGATCATGTATTAAGCACTTACTATGTGTTAAGTCTCCGAAACTAGGGAGATATTTATATTTCTATAGCACACACACCCAACTGAAAACCACAGTGATGTGCAGGCTTCCCCTCCCCCATAGGCCACTTCCTCTTTTTACTGTTTACACTTAGGAAAAGCAGAGAGCACTTTTGCTGCCACACAATGCTAGAGTGTTATTTGAAGTAGTTTTCTAGGTATCCTTAGCTGCTTGCAAGTGTACATGCCATTTTCATCATCTGAAGAGTCAGTGAGTGTCTTAGCTCGAGTTCTT